TCAGGGGCTGTGGGTGGGGGCTGTGGGGAGTGAGGGTCATGTGACAATGATATGGAGGCTCACCCAGCTTCATCCTGGTCTCTGGTCTCTGGTCTCTGGTCTCTATTCCAAGTGGGGATCCAAGTGTCCTCTCAGAGGCTGTCATGTGGGTCTCACTCAGCCTTGTTTGGTGTCTCTGGCCTCAGTCTTGTTTTCTGGGTCTCAGCCTGCTGCTCGGTCTGTGTCCTCGAACTTCCAGCTAGGCAGCGATGCAATACCTCACTGAGCTCCATGGTGCAGCTTTTAGCCTGCACAGGCGGGCAATCCCAGCTGATGTAGGAAAAATGAAAACACACCTGCCACTAGGGGAGGCCCGAGGCTGGGGAAGCCCGGGCAGGGCGGGGCCTTGAGCCAGGTGAGCAGCTGGACAGAAACAGAAAGTGACACACACTCAGGCTCACCTACAGGAGGTGAGGTCCCAAGAGGAATCTCAGGATAAGGGCAGCCTCAGCCCCACAAAGAGGGGTTGCCTTTCTGCAGGACACCCCTGTGCAGGGAGAGGAGGAGGAAAGCACCTCCAGGGCTGTTGCCACTTCTGAGAAGGAGGCTGTCAAGGGAGGGGAGAAGACAAAGGGAGAAGGCTGGGGGTGGGGGGGATGGTACGGGGGAGGGTGTATGGGAGAGTGGGCAACATAAAACAGCCCAGAGTTAAGAGGTCAGCTCTTCCCTCCCTTCCCCACCAGGGGCTGTGAATGAAGGGGAGGAGAGGAGCTTGACAAACAAACATCTTTAATTGTCCAGATACAGAGGGACCCAGGGATAGGAGTCTCTGCTAGGGAATCCGGGTGTAGCCAAGGGCTTCAAGGGATCCTGTCAGTGTGACAAATGCCTTCATTCATTCATCAAGTATTACCCAGCCCCTACTTTGTTTCAGGCACTGCTCAAGGTGCCAGGAACAGAGCATTGAAACGAAATCCCATAAAACAAAACCTGTTGGAGCTTTTTAAAAAACAAACAACTTTACTGTATTGATCTTTAGAGAGGGAGAGGGAGAGAGAGACCAATGTGAGAGTGAAACATGTATATGAGAGTGAACCATTGATCGGTGGCCTTCTGCACCTATCCCCACTGGGAACAGAACCCAAAACCTGGGCATGTCCTCTAACCAGGAATTGAACCAGCGACCTTTCACAGGGGAGGACTCTCCAACCCCTGAGTCACACCAGCCAAGGCTCATGGGCCTTTTTACTAGAGGAGAGTAGGGGAGGGGTAAGCACTCAGTGTATATTACATCAGGTAACAGAAAATGAAAGCACAAACGTGAGGTGACAGCAGAGTGTAGGAGGGGGCTGCACTGAATGAGGCCAGAAAAGTCACATTTGAGCAAAAACATAAAGTGAGACGTGAGGGAGTGAGCTATGTCAAGATCTGAAAGGAAAAAAAGACACCCCCTACCCATGATCTGGGAGTACTTTATTCTTCACCCCATCACGAAGGCTTCGCCACAATGTAGTATTGAACCCATGATAACATCTGGGGCACAGTGTAGTTTGCCTTCATCTATATATACTAGAGGCCTGGTGCATGAATTTGTGCATGAGTGGGGTCCAGCCGTCTGGCCCCAATCTGGGTGGTGGGGGCTAAATTGGGTCAGGGTTGCCAGGGGGAGGGGCTGAAGGCAGTTGGCCAGCCCTGCCCCATGGTCGAACTCCCAGTGGAACTCTCAGTCTAGGGGAGGATTTGCATATTAGGCTATATATATATATATATATATATATATATATATATATATATATATATATAAAGAGCCAGGGGCCATAGCAACCAAACAGATAACCAAACAGGCTGAATGGTGCGACCAGGCCAGCAGGGGGGTTAGTGAGGGATGACCAAACGACTGAGCAGCAGGCTGTGTGGGGCAACCAGGCAAGCAGAGGGGGGGGCGAACATGCCGGCGGCGGGGGATGGTGGGGGCGACCAGGCCAACAGGGGGGGGCAGTAAGGGGCAACCATGCTGGCAAAAGGGAGGCTGTTGGGGTGACCAGGCTTGCGGGAGGGGTAGTTGGGGGCGACTAAGTTGGCGTGGGGGAACAGTTGTGGGCGACCAGGCCGCCAGGCAGAGGTAGTTAAGGGTGATCAGGCTGGCAGGGGGGCCAGTTAGGGGTGATCAGGCAGGCAGGCAGGTGAGCAGTTAGGAGTCAGCAGTCCCAGATTGTGAGAGGAATATCTAACTGCCGGCTGTTGGACATCTCCCGAGGGGTCCCGGATTGGGGAAGGTTCAGGCTGGGATGAGGGGACCCACCACTGTGCACGAATTTCATGCACCAGGCCTCTAGTATAGGATAAAAGCCTAAACGAACTTTAAGACCAAAGGACCAGAATGATCAAAACGACCGGTCCACCAGTTGCTATGATGCATACTAACCACCAGGGGACAGATACTCAACGCAGGAACTGTTCCCTGGTGGTCAGTACACTCCCACAGCCAACCTCCCAGGGCTGACCAACCTCACCTGGTCCCTCCCTGCAGCTGGCCAACCTCCTGTGGTCCCTCCCCCTGTTCCTCCCCCTGGCCAGCAGGACCCTATCACGGGACTGATGGAGACGTCCCTGATCAGCTGTGATTGATGGCCAGGCCTAGGGATCCCACTGTGCATGAATTCATGCACCGGGCCTCTAGTTTTAAACATAAGAAACATTGATAGAGTGAATGAGAAGCTTAGTGTTGTGACATATTTTAAAAATAGTCTCCGGCCCAGCCTGTGTAGCTCAGTGGTTGATGTCCACCTATTAACCAGGAGGTCAGGGTTGGATCCCTGGTTAGGGCACATACCCAGATTATGTGCTCAGTCCTCAGTAGGGGGTGTGCAGGAGGCAGCTGGTCAATGATTCTTTCTCACCACAGATGCTTCTATCTCTCTCCCTTCCTCTCTCTCAAATCAATTTAAAAAATATTTTATTTTTTTATACTAGTATATTTGTATTGATTTCAGAGAAAGAAATAGAGCTAGAAACATCAATGAGAGAGAATCATTGATTGGCTGCCTCCTGCACTCTCCCCTACTGGGGATCAAGCCCCCAATCCGGGCATGTGCCCTTTACCAGAATTGAACCCAGGACCCCCCAGTCTGCAGGCCAATGCTCAATCCAGTGAGCCAAGCAGGCTAGGGATTATATATATATTTTAAAGAGCATGGACCATGGAGCTGAAGGGTTTGGGATTCAAACCTGGCTCTACCCTCACCTGCTGTGTGACCTTGACGAGGAGCCCTGCAGTTGGCAGCAAAGCTCTCCAGCCCACAGGCTTGGACAAATAAAGAAGTGCAATCACTTGTGTACTGAGGTGTGTGTGGTTATTTGATAGAGACCATCCTATGGCCTCCACTGGAAGCTGAGTAAATGCTACGTCAACGTACACGACTCGTCCGCAAAGGAAGGATGATAACGCCACGGTGTGGGTGAGGAAACCGAGGCCGCAGAGAAGTGATTGCCCAGTCACACCGTGGTTAAGAGGCGGGGTCAGAGTGCACTCACGTCACCTGATTGCCCTGGCTAAGCATTTTTAACTGAAAGTGCCGCTCAGAGTGATCACAGGGGAACGACCAGTGCAAATGCAAGAATATTTAATAATGAAAGACAGAGTAGCCCATTACTCAGGGATTTCACAAATACAAAAGACACAAGGGTGACAGAATCCAAAATTCTGCAGTAACCTAAGGACTTCGGGCTCTGTCACTGCCTGATCCCTGAGGGAGGAGGCCTCTCCAGTGGAGAGATGCAGGAGTCACAGATTCATAGAATCTCATAGGAGACACTGAAGGCTCCAACCAGGGCGTGGGAACGGTCATGGAGGCTCGGTTCTGGGCTGCTGGTACCCAGAGAAGTAGAGCCTCCCCGGGGTACGTGGGGTCAGCGTCCCCCGTGGACCCAGGACTCAAGTCTCTTCCTGCCACACAAGGCCCCTGGCGGGGCTTCGGGCAATGCATTCCACAGACATGTCCCTGCTCCCAGGGGACGCGTTGTCCTCTCGGGAAATGTACCCGCACTTCACGGTGCGCTCAGCGCAGGCCATCGAGGTGAGGCCAGCGGCGGCGGTGGCAGAGTCTCCTGAGCGCGGGCGCCCACTGGCTGGAGACCTGCCTGGACCAGAGGGCAGCACAGAGCCCCGACCTAAGCCGCCCGCCTGCAGAGCCGCGGGTCCCGCCTCGCAGTCGGGTCAGAGACAAGGCCCTGAGAGCGCCGCCAGCTTCAGGTCCCACGTGAGCAGGCGCAGGAGGTTGAAGATGATGGTGGCTTCATGG